CTGCAAGCGAAGAGACCGTGAGAACCGGTAAAAGCAGACTGTCTGCTTTTACCGGTTCTCACGGTTCTACCCTGAAGATGGAGGCGATACGTTCCTCCGAAACGTCGGTTAACACCACATATACACGGTGCCAAATCCCAGAAGACTGCTTTCTTCATAACTTTAAATGTTTGAATCGTCCCCATCCTCGTGTCTTGGATAAAAGATAGGGGTAAAGTAATCTCATTGTAAGCATCACACCATGAAGGCGCAAGGGGAAACTTGGCGTAACTCTCCATACATTCTTAATCTTTGCATTAGCTTGGGTGAGTGTTCATCTTCAAGCTCTAGTCTTCTCTTTTTCTGGAAAGCCCTCCGACAACAACAACAACAACAACAACACCGCACTGAAGAGGTTGGCACAGCAGCAACGTGTGTGGGAGGTTCCCGCTTCGACTGTCAGCCGCAGTACCGGCTGTGGTAATGGCGACGACCATTGTCCTGTGACCCAAAAAACATGGTCGGTATTTCGCGGGCACTGACATATCCTAACTGACCAGTGTATGTGTTCTTCATATCTCACTCACTGAAGTGACAGCCTACGGTCTGGAGAGCGGGGTTTCGATTCCGGAATTTAACTCTTCGCCACAACGCCCAAACCAGTTCTAGAGTTACCCGACCTCCTACCCAGTGCGTATTGAGGATTAAGCGGCTGGAGTGTGAAGCTGTTCACATACTTTCATCCAGTGCCCACGTCCATGATGGTGGAGCTTTACCTCCACGCTCCTTATATGTCTCATTTTTAAGGTTCTTAGGCAAAGATGCAATTGCTTTACATTGTGTAAAGGTGAGGTAAAGTTGTCCCTGTGCTTAACTAATTAAGCACTACACCATGAAGGTGTATGGGGAAGTGGATGTATAGATCGACATTTTCTTGACCTCGGCACTAGTTGGAGGTGAGTGGTCAGCTTCACGCTCCGGCCGCTTTACACCCGGGGAAAGAGCCCCCCCGTACCCATTGGATAGGAGGTTGGGTGGACCCCAGAGCCGGTGTGGACTACACGGAGAAGCGAACATTCATGACGTTACAGCGACTCGAGCTCCGACCCCTCGGTCGTCCTGCCCGTAGCCAGTCGCTATACCGACTGAGCTATCCCGGCTCACCTTTACCTCGTGTATGTAATCTATTATACATCTACATATGAATGTCTTATGAGACGGAAAGAACCGTGTAGCTTAACTGATGATGATGATACAAAGGTAAATGTAAAGTTGTCCTGTACTTAATTAAGCTACAGGTAATGAAGACGTATGGGGGAATGGAGGTATTGCTCCATGCATTCTTAACCTCGATACTAGGTGAAGGTGAATATTAAGCTTCACGCCCTGTGTGCTTTACGCTGGTGAACGAACCCACGGCACCAATTGAGTAAGAGGCTGGGTGGGCTCTGTGGGGAAGAGGAAAACCTGTTGTCCCCGCCAGGGATCAAACTATTCCTCGGTCGCCCAGCCCGCAGCCTATTCAGTATACCGACTACGAATTTCGTTTTCCGACAAAGCACCCGAAGGGTGATATTTGCATTTGTCTGATGAAGTAAGCCAATCTTTATTCAGACTTCATTTTTATTTGCATAGACCAACATCGATGGACTTCACTTGTGTAGTTATCAGTCATTAAGTTTACTTCAAGGCAGTGTAATGCTGTGTCATGTTTCGACTGAAGATGGTCTCTGACGAATCGTGGATTTCCTGTACAGCATTTATGAGCTGACTGCAAGAGGCAGGCCCACACTAAACGTTCAAAGAATGGAAATGTCTTGTCTGTTTGGCCATTTGTTTCTCATTCCGTCGTCTCATTTCCAAAGTACCTCAAATTTCGGGGAACTGTAGCATTGAGAAGCGAATTCCATTACTGTCAAAAGCGATATAGCGCACACTTTACATGTACCGATAGCTCAAATGGAACTTAAGGAAATACATTTTCATACTTTTCTCAAAAACTGTTTATTGCAAAAATGGGTTCGTCATTTAATTAAGATTTATACATTTTAAAGAAGAAAGCAGTCTTCTGGGATCTCGCACCGTGTATATGTGGTGTTAACCGACGTTTCGGAGGAACGTATCGCCTCCATCTTCAGGGTAGAAGGAAAACTATAAGAAATCCACAAGCGAAGAGACCATGACCGGTTCTCACGGTCTTTTCGCTTGCGGATTTCTTATATTTTTCCTTCTACCCTGAAGATGGAGGCGATACGTTCCTCCGAAACGTCGGTTAACACCACATATACACGGTGCCAAATCCCAGACGACTGCTTTCTTCATAGTCAACGCCGTGAAAGCCTCAAATCTTTATACATTTTATTTGAAACATTTCCGATGTGGTACATTTGTAACATAATGTAAGGAAATACTAATTTCATTTTGTATGAATACTATGTACTGTATATAGGAGCCGCGGTAGCGCAGTCGGTATAGCGACTGGCTACGGGGTGGACGACCGAGGGGTCGCAGTTCTTGTCGCAGTAAGGTCAAGAATATTCTCTTTTTCACGGAGTCCAGACCGGCTCTTGGGCCCACCCAACCTCCTATTCAATGGGTGCCGGGGGCTCTTTTCCCGGGGGTAAAGCGGCAGGGGCGTGAAGCTGAACACTCACCTCCAACTAGTGTCGAGGTCAAGAAAATGTGGGTCTATTCATCCACTCCCCCCTACGCTTTCATGGCGTAGTGTTTAATTAGTTAAGCACAGAGGACAACTTTACTTTCTTCCTTTATGAACTGTATATAAAAATCTGTGTTTTGCTTTCCAAGAACAGAGTTTATGGTTTTATGAGTATGCTGAATATGAACAACAGAGGGTTGCAGCAAGCAAAGAAACGGTTGGAATATACTCGTATATACTCCCTAAACTGGAAAATAACTTTGCACTTTTCTTATAGATATACATAGTTCCCTTTAAACCGTGAATATCATCTCCTACAAAAGAAAGGCTTTTAGAAGCACAGCAGACAGTAAATTATGTGTCTTGTTTCGAAAACTGAATTTCTGTGAGAAACCAAGAATATATTGCTTCAGAGATGAAGCCCAAATGTTGAATATCGGGGATGTGATTTGGTGCTGCGTGGTGAGGGTTAACGCCAGACTTAGAAGGCAATGGTAGAATGATGATTGGCATGGAAGACTCAAGTAACTCGGAGATAAACCGGCTCCAGTGTCACCCAGTCCATGACGAATATCCTGCGCTAACACGTACAGACAGAGTGATGGGAGAATTGATTATGTTTCAATGTCAAGTTCCATAGAAATCAATAATTTGAATCATTAGAACGTAAAGTTAAAGTGCTGAGGCAAAGAAGGAACGTCGTTTACGGGTTTCGGAACGAGATATTTGACCAGCAAACAAGCGTGACTTACAATGATCTCATTGAACTGTTTCAAGTACATGGTACAGCCACACTACTCCTGCAGTTGAAACGTTGTACGCAGACTGCGTAAGATTGGAGGTTTTCACGGCGGTGACTAAGAAGAATTCCGTCTTCTGGGATGTGGCGCCGTGTAGATATTGTGTAAACCGACGTTTCGGAGGAACGTATCACCTCCATCTTCAGGGTATAACAAAAATCAGCGAGCGAGGAACCAGCGTGAGCAGCCAGATAGAATCATGTAGGATTTCATACTTAATGTTACAGTGGACCACTAGTTGTCGCTGTCACAATGAAACCTAAACATCAAATTTCTGCACGCCCGCCATCTTGCTATTTTACATTCTTAAAAAAGGGTCTAAATAAACGTTGCATATTACTGTGTTTAACTAATTAAGCACTACGCCATGAAGGCATATCGGGGAGTGGATATATAGATCCACGTTTTCTTGAACTCGGCACTAATTGGTAGTGAGTGGTCAACTTCACGCCCCGGCCGCTTTACCCCCGGGGAAAGAGCCCCTGGTACCCATTGGATAGGAGGTTGGGTGGACCCCAGAGCCCGTCTGGACGACTTGGAGAAGCGAAAGTTCATGACGTTACAGCGACTGGAACTACGACTTCTCGGTCGTCCAGCCCGTAGCCAGTCGCTATACTGACTGCACTATCTATTCCTTACTTACTTACTTACTCATGGAGCTGAGCCCTTCTGGAGGAGCCGCCAAGTTTGCAGCTACTCAAGAATTTCCCAGCATTTTATGGAACCCGAAGGGTCATTACCGTTATCCTATATGCATTCCTCGTCTCCCCCATTCGTGCTACATGCCCTGCCCACCTCATCCTCCTTGACTTCATTCTAATTATACTTGGAGAAGAGCACAAGTTATGAAGCTCCTCATTATGCAGTTTTCTCCAACCTCCTGTCACTTTATCTCTCTTCGGACCAAATATTCTCCTGTTCTCAAACACCCTCAGTCTGTGTTCCTCCCTTAATGTCAGAGACCAAGTTTCACACCCATACAGAACCACAGGCAAAATTATAGTTCTGTATATTCCAATGTTTATGTTTTTAGACAGCAGACGAGAAGACAAAAGTTTCTGGACTAAATGGTAGCGAGCATTACCCGAGTTCAATCGCCTCTTACTTTCCTCCTGAATCAGGTTTCGATCTGTTATCGTTCCCAAATATCTGAACTGT